CAAAGAGTGTTTGTGGGATTTTGTTCTATTTGATTTTTTTGAAAATTATAGAAAAATTTACCATATTGTCAAAGCGTTTTAGTAGAGTGATGGGTAGGAGTAGGAAGGGCTCAGCCCCCGTGGCTCGATAGTAAAATGCTAGTTAGTAGTTTATGTACATTTTAAGTATATTTTGCGGTTATTTTAACACAAATAAACACCTATTTTTGAATTATGTTCCATTCTGGCTTGAGTGACAGTAGTTTTTGTATGTCTAGTTTGTTGCCTGTCTAGAAATTATGAGTTTAGACACCAAAATCATATCTGTAGCTTATTTAGTTCCAATTTTATGCACATAGATAAATTTGGGGCCATTTTGAAAAATGGCCGCCATTTGTATACAAGACGTAAAATCAAGTGTCAACAGGGCTTAGGGTGACCAGAATGGATTAATTATGATATCTGGCTATGTGGATTGCTTCTAACATTCCATTCCCCCTATCTCATTTTTTTCAGATTTTTTTTCTAGTCTATTAAGACAGTACAGTGTTTTTAACATTATTATATTAAACTTTAAATTTCAGTATCATCGTCTACCGATGTTGCACCAGGAAGTAAGTATTAATTGTAGTGTTATATTCTCTTGTCATTAGTTAAATGCAATTATTAGGTGCTTTGCTGAATTTATTTATTTACTGTTACCATGCAATACTGACTTTCATCTTTCTGATGCTATTATTTCTTTTCACATATTTCTCTCAATTTCTTTCAAATACATCAGTTATTAAAATTTTTAAAAAAATGACATACAGTAATCTCAATCAAGTTAATCCAACAGGATATACAAAACAATGTGGAGATGACATGAGAGTCAGTTCACATTTACATCTTATATAAAGATATTTTGGATGGTCTCAACTTGCACCCAAAATACTGACAATGTACATTACCATCATTGGAAATGTTAAAAAAAACTTAAAAACACCACCTCTTCTGGCAATAAATCTTGTGTGACCTTTCTTATCACAAGTATAGTGGTAATTTGCAAAAAATATTAATTGGAAAACAAATTATTTAGCTCGACAAAGAAATAAGTAGAGCACTAAATATTTTGGAATTTTTAATCGTTTGTTCTGGTAATGCCTCTGAGTTATATATATCCCCGTACAGGGACATAGATACCTGAGCTGGCAGTGCAAAAGGGTATGTCTTTGTGTTGATAAAGGGCCCCTTAAAGTCAACTAGGACAAATGCAACTACTGTATAATAAACTTTTTATAAACATATCAAATATTCGGTATCATTTGATTTTATTTGAATAAATAATAAATGTAACAAATGTTAAGATCAGATTATGTAAGCACAGGACAAAATAAGTGTTACTTAATTTCATCTGTATGCTATTTATAGAGTACTATGTCATAGTACCATCAGCTTGTTTCCAAGCAAGTGTCCCTATAGCTATGTGTCACAACGTTTTCAAACAGATATAACATTATAACTTAATTTTATGACATTCAATCTGTAGGGCCTATTTGTTACTTGTAATCTCAATTTGTAAATAAATATACATCAGATTGCGAGCATTGATTATTGTTATGTTTTTAAAATTGTTAATGTTTAAGGGGTTACATCTGTTAAAAATAATTGTTGCTTAGATGTGGAAGCACTCTATATATCGACTGTGTAGCATTGTTAGGTAACAAAGGGATGTCACATAGTGTTGTGATGTTTGCAATATCAGAATTTAAGTCATGATGATTTTAGATTCATTTCTATAACAATAATGATAAGAAAAAAAGTTACAATTTATTTTACTTTTCCTTTCTAGACCATAAAAGCTTGAACTAATCAAAAGTACCATTGTCATATAACCTAGCTTTTTTTTTCAAAGTTTCTTATATGCATGCTGTAAAGATGCACACTTCAGCACTCCAATTTTAGTAGGACAGTTCTTTCGTAAAAGAAAATCAATTGCCAAAAACAGTATTTCCTATGGTTTTCATGTGTATAATATTAAAAACCTATGAAAATATACCGCTGTAGGGCAACAATTGTATTGTAAGGCTTTATTGTAGATTCAAAATCAAGAACTAAGAATACCTACGTAAATATACTGTACTCAACTTGTAAGTATATAAAGGAGTGGTAATTACTAAAATTGGAGTATCATCATTCACAATAAACTAAATAAAATTTCAGTGATATCTGGCTGAAATAAACTGTTCTTTAAACAAATACATTTTAATAATGTGCTAGCTTCAAAATATTGTACAAAGCTTTAAAATTGTGATGATCAAAGTTAATATAATTAATTGGTATACTTTGCCAAATTGAATCTCCTTAAACTGACTGACATTATTCTTGTCCAGAAAGGTAAATTTATTTTTTCTGCTATGCATTGTATCCTTCCCGAAAATTTATGCAATATGTTTGTTCCCAATTACTCTATTCATAATTACCCCACTCGATCTAGAACTCATATTCACATACCTACCCACAAAACTAATTACTTTCAACATAATATTAGATACTCAGGCCCTACAATGATGAACAATCTCCCTCCCCCAATTCTAAACGCTGATTCTCTAAGAATATTTTCCAAAAAATTGAAACTTCACCTAATGTCGTTCTATTATTTAATATTTGTGGTCAGATTTGATATGTTCTGCTTTCGCATGAACTTCAGTTGTTTGTTTGTTTATTCATTTATTTATTATTATTTTTTTTCCTTTTTATTTATTTTTTTTAATTTTTTTTTTTTTTGCTCTTATTTTTGTCTGTATTGACTTTTTTGTTTTTATTTTTTTTTAACCAATTGCTAAGTTGTTCTCCACATTAGAAAAAATAAAATTATAACAATCGCATTTCACATAGTTTTAAAATGTGTATTAATAAACTGAGTGAAATATCTACAGAATATAATTTTCTATTTAAAATATAAATATATACAATTCACATAGTCTTCCCAACAACCAGTAACTCATGAAAGTGTGGCAACTTCGTCTTGTAAGTATTCTAGTCTGCAGTGTGGTCATTCTACAGTCAGTTTTTTATTAATTTATTATTACTCAGATCAAAACCATGCTCATAGAATCAACCAAATTTTTAAGCAATTCATTTTTTATATCGATATTTTTTAAAAAAAGCTTTGCGCTTCTGCTTTTTTTTTTTTTTAATAACATGAGAGTTGTATAGTTTAAGTAGTGTTCTTGAGACTCAGGTTTGAAACTTTTTTATGATTGTATGTCTTGCTTTCTTCATCTACATAACAATATAGGCCTATTCAATATTCGTATGCTTTTATTATCTAGTTTTTCAGGGCTGTAAAAAGTTTGTGGTCCTGGGTCCTGGACTTGAGTATTTTAGGGCTGGGCTAGCAAAAAATACATTAAATCTAGACCAATATTCAATAGCTGATATTAAAGGCTAGCAATTATTTTGGCAAAATCTTGGTCCAGCAAAACATTTTTTTACAGCTCTGGTTTTTATTTTATTATAATTTTGAAATATATAAACAAAATTGCGAAGTGTGCAAGGTAAAAAAAATTTAAATAGAGTAATGAGATTTCTAAATGCTTTCAATTTATATAATCCCCCAAATAAATAATCTACATGTCTACAATATTATATAATTGCTAGCCCTTAGTATCAGGTACTTATAGGCTTAGTTAAATTCTATTTCCCCTCAGTGTATTTTTTTTTTATATATAACATATGTTGTGCTAAAAGATAAGTTGACCTATGCAAATATTTTAAGAAACAGACAAAAATGTGATGATGATTTATTTTGGGGAATTTCAAAGCGGCTCTAGGCATAATAGAATTAAATTTAAACAATTATTTTTTTTAATCAAATCTTCTATCTGTATGCCTAATCTTATTGTTGGAATATGGACAATGAGTAATATTTGAACATGTGGTCCGTGAAGTTTTTGGCATGTCCAGAGAGGTCCACGAATGCAAAAAGTTTAGGAACCACTGGTTTAGTGTTTGGTTGATGAACTATATGTAAAAAGGTCTTTTTGCCACCATATTGTGCCATACTTCAAGCTGCGCAACAGCCGTGACAAAAAAGGGGAAATCCCCAAAACTGTTCACTTACAGTTTAACATATGTATTTGCCACACTTCACCTTTGAAAGTGCGGCACTCAAACTGTGGTGCTGTCAAACTTACAAATATAAAATGCAACAAAAGAAACAAGAAATGTATAGTAATAATTATAGTAATATTGACTCTGCATTATACTTTGTCACAATAGATTTCAGGGATCAACCGAGAAAATATGTAAACATCAAAAAATCAAATGCCATTGTAGCTACTTATGTATATACCAATAGTCTTACTCCAATCTAATCCAAACTACGACTTATAGTATATTGTGCATTTTACAAGTCTTAAGACTTAAGTATTAATCTTAAGAGCCTTGGTTGAATTCTATTTCCACCTTTTCATTTTAATTTTTAAATTCAATATTCAAGTTTGTTTTTTTTTTTGGCAAATTTGGCCAGTGCTACAAAATATAATTAATACATTCCTACTATTTCTCTGAATTCACAGGCACATTATCATTAATGAGTATTATATAACATTTACTACATAATAGTTGTGGTTAAATAACATCATATGCTAATAATGAAATTGAATAGCTGTAAATGTTTAATTTACTATTTTATTTTAAATTTATAATGAATTTACCGCGTATAAGGCAGTTTATCTTTTTATACTAATGCAGTATTTTTAGCTAATTATTACATAATTAGAGTTTATTATATGAAATAGAAAAACAAACTGTCTACCTGTTATCAATATTGATAGATGTAATATTGATAGATGTAATACTGATATTTATTATGCTGCAATTTTTTTTAGTGTAATTAGGATATATGTCTCAATTTGATTTTTTTTTACTGTTTCAGCTAATGAGAGTTCAAGCCCACCTATAATAAGTAAGGAATACTTCAAAATTTTACTTTACATAGCATGAGATCAGTGATATTTCAAATGTCAAAATTTAATTTAATTCATATGTGTTGTACCATGTATAGTTTACCTTTTACTACTGATTATATTCTGTTTACTTATGTTGGTTTTTTGAACGATGGATTAACAAGCTTGTGAGCTAAATTTTAATTGCTTTTTTAATCCTTGCCTCCTATAAAATTACATAGTTTTGTTTTAGTTATTTTACTGTATGTACCAAATGTATTTTGATTTTTATTAAATGCTAAATAAATGTTAATGAGATCTTGTGTTTCCTTTAAATTTTATAAGTATAATTATCTATTATAGGTGGCCAAATAGTAAATGTTGATAATAATTAAATATTACTCAAATACAGATTCTTTCAACACCTTCTAATATATGCATGCTATTCAATTCAATAAATTCACAATCTGTAAAATTATAGTTTGAAATTAACATCGTTACTTACAGTGTATTGCTTCAACAACTAATTCTTTCTACAAAACGTAGGTGGTGGCACGGTGTGAACATTGGTTGCGCCTGGTAAGCACTTTGAGTACAGAGTGAGAACCCAAAACTGGTACCAGGAGATGCATGGGCCTCATTTAAGGTCCATGGGCCAGCCCTCAAAAAATTGAATATTTCAAGATTTTAGATTATTTTAACATTTTGGTAGTATTTTACAACAATAAGAGATACACAACAGACAACTGTAAATCTGCTGTATGCTATGCCCGAAGTTGATCTGTTCTTTTTCAAAAATTAATGTAGTTGTAATTGTTGTAGCACCTTACTTTAAATCGATTTTTCATTTTAAT